TCAATCAGTTATTAGTATATCCGATTGGGCCGGGTCGCACATCGAGGACAAGAGGAGAGAACGCAACGCACGTGATAGAGCCCACACTCCGGAACAGATGGTGGCGGTAATGCACCAATAAGCTGGATGCCAACCGCCGTTAAAAATAAAGAAGAAGAAGAAGAAGAAGACGTGATAGAGCGAGATAAGGCATGTATTAAGCCGTTTCTCAATATGCGTTCTTGTCTGTACTTGTGTTCTTGTGGACTTGTGAAACGTCATCAGTCGTTGCCCAAGTACTGTTCCAATTCAAAGTTCACATCTAGCCAAGTACAGTTCAAATCCCCGGATGTGTTCTTGCTCCGCCCGTTTTATCAAGGATGCATCCAGAGGTGACTTGTGCATTTGTAAGGGATTGGATATCATTTAAAAGAATAGCAACTTCAATAGAAATAGAATGTGTGATTACTGAAGTATATAAATCAGATGGGAACTTGGTAGTAATCAACTTTTATAACCCATGTAAATTATTAAGCCTAGACGTTTTAGAGGACATAGTTAGGAGTCAAGGAAAAAGGAAAGAAATATGGTAAGTTTATGCTAGAAATGTTTTGGAATGGGATATTTGTCTGATTTGTACATATAAATATCCTAGTCTGCCTAACTGCATCACTACATTATACAGACATTACAGGTCAAAGCCATCTGATGTTCCATTTATCTAAATAAATAGGCCTAACATACTGTATATGGCTCTTAAATCACTGCTTAAAAAAATGCAGTGTTGTCATATTTCGAATACCTCAACTGAATTGAGGTCATTTGTTTTATAATTTTATTACTGACTGTGTACTTGTCTTTTTTTTGCCAAATTAAGTTTGAAATCAAATTTGGAAACAAGCTTCCTTGTGCTGTAAGCATTTGCAGTAAAGTTACCCTATTTAAAGACACAAATACACAAAATGAGCAAATGTTTAAGATTGAGATTTGTGTAATGGTAGTTGATTAATATTTATATGTAGCCTATGTAAATAAAAGCCTATATTAAAATTTGTTCATCATATAAAGGGAATGTGTCTTTTTAGAAGACTTGGATTAAACCAATTACAAAGCTTGAAATAATGATTGCCTTGAAAAAATGGATG